TTTTTTACAGTAATTATGAAGAAAATATGACATATACATATGTATGTATATATACATATGTATGTATATGTATATATATATGGGAAAGGATGGTTTCTCAGAACAGGAAAACAATAAACAGTTTGTTTCCTTGTAAGGAGGCAAAACAAGACAAAAGCAGGAAGTGCTGTTCTTCTTTTATCCTGCCAGACTTTCAATGAAGAGTCAAGTGTGTGCATCAGTCATGATAAGGGAGAAGACACCAAAGTGATATCATCTTCCTTATTTTTTTAAAGAGAAACACAAAAGTATATCATGTAATACTTTATTCTTAATTTTGCTCTGTATGAGTCCAGTACATGCCACATTGTGAAGAAATTCACATGGAAACACTCTGGTACATGTAAACATGAACTCTCTAAACTTCTGTAGTGGTTCTTTCTCTTTAGTACTCAAAGCAAGTATTTGAACTTAAAAAAGAATACTAATTCTCTTAAACAAAAGCTGTAGATCCACATGAGTTGAGTATTTATAAGACTCCAAGATACTTTCTTTACTATGATAAAGAAAAAAAATGACATGTATCTGGATAGTTGATTGTCTAATATTGTTTGGAATCTAGCTACTTTTTAGAAAGTTCTAACATAACAAATACTGAGTACATCGCTTTCACATTTTGTATAAAATAGAACAATGAGAACAAATAATTTATTTGCATTCATAAGCTCATAGTTACATAATTAATTTAATATGTTCCCTGGTGGACTCAGCTTATGATGTCATTTCTGAAGCAGAAATCAAATTTCATTAAAGCTATTAAATGAGAGCAAAAATAATATCCACAGGCTGCTCAGAGTTGCTTAGTTATAAAATTTTTGCTTATAAAAAAAGTATTTTAGATCCCAGAATACACTTTAAGATAAAAAAGCAAAATTGTTTAAAAATAGAGGTTAGTCCTAAGTAAGCCTATAAAAATCTATTCATCTAATGATACATCTAAAGCCTAGTATTTTATTTACAGTAAGATGGAAATTGTAATATATTTAAGAAATAATTTTAGCTTATGATAGCAATTGAGGACTTACAAGTGGCTAGAGATGATGTGAAGAGCATTGTGTATATTTCCTCTTTTAATCTTCACAAGAAACTTGTGACACAGATTAGGAAACAGAACCTTAGAATGCTCTGTGATTTTCCCTCCATCACATAGCTAAGTGGTCAGTACAGACATTGGGTTCTAGACAATGTAGTCTGGGAATGTTAAGTATTAAAAGATCTGGGTTTCTATTTCCAGCTCACTGTGTGATCTTCAACAGGTTACTCCCACACTGTTTTCTTATCTGCAAAATTAGAGCCAGACCTATCTGTACAATTCTATTTAATTTGAAAATTCCATGATTTCATTTACTTGCTTCTAGATAGTGGTTCTGATGAGGAAAAAAATGCCTCAAGAATTATGAAGTGAAGACTTCATTCATGTCCTTCTTACCCAGGGGAAGGAGAAGGACAGTTTCTAGAGGAAGGAGGAATTGTACATGGAGTAAGGAAATCCACAGGGTTATGGGAGAGAAGTAGAAAGAACTATCATTGAATTGGGGGACCTTTTAGTGTAGAGTTTTCTTCTTCCCTTTTTCTTCAATGTCCAGAACAAACACATAGTTTCACTGATGTTTTCTGAGCATTTTTACCTCTAGTATCCACAGGATTGCACAGGAAGTGAAAGGGCTTCTATAATATAGGCATTTATTGTGGCTTTCACTTTGACTTTGTAGAGCAAACCTGAGGTTCACAAAGGATCAAAAGAAAAAAAAAATCTGTATTTTCGAAAACAAACCATAAAAAGGACTTAAGCTTCTACAATGTTTTACTTGGAGAAATATAAGGGGCTTCACAGAGGAGATGAGGCAGAAGTTCAGGATTTCATCTTCCAAAGTTTGATCTAGAGAAGAGGAGAGGAAAGGAGGAGAGAAATATGGACTATTATCTTTCTGGTTGATGTCACTCCTTCTTTCCTTCCCTGTTTTACTACAGGTCTTCTTGTAGCATACAATAATGCAAGGAGGACAATGGGTAAAATGATAAGTATAGAATGGTCCATGCCAAATAAATTTGAGGGAAGGGAATCTTTTAGATAATACAAAAACTATCAACATAAGATAGCAGTAAGTGGTACATACAGATTTAACACATGTAAGAGAAAGAGAACCCGAGTGCAGAGAGAGATCTTAGAAATTGTTTTATCTCATCTAACTTTTATCTGGAGACCTTTTTCTAGAGCACCTTTGAGAGATGGTGAGCCAGGATTCATTTGAATATTCTTTTTTTTTTTTTTTTTTTTTTGTCGGTTGTGGGGCTTGAACTCTGGGCCTGGGCACTGTCCCTCAGCTCTTCAGCTCAAGGCTAGTGCTCTACCACTTGAGCCACAGCACCACTTCCAATTTTCTGGTGGTTTACTGGAGATAAGAGTCTCATGGACTTTCCTGCCCAGACTGGCTTTGAACCACTATTCTCATTCTAAGTAGCCGTCTTCCTCATTAGATAGGGCCATAGAGTTGAGAAGTTCTTATCACATGATCCCTTTTCTAGAATTTGCTTAGAGATAAGATAAATGAGGGTAGGAAATATCTTAATTATTTTTGCATTTCCAGAATCTTTAACTTGTACTGAGAAAAGTTTCAGCAAACTGTTTATGAAAGCATAAGTAGATTACTGGATATAATCTATCTAAGAAAATGCACCAAGTTTACTTTCTACCTAACACAACACTTTCATATTTGATGAAGGATTGTCATGTCTATAAACTTTCTATTCTTCAAGTTAAATACCCTCAAACTTTACGTCTAATGTCACCATCTTATCACCTGACTCTGGGAAACTATCCTGTTACCTACATATGCCTCTGCCTTTTCTTTACAAATTCAAATAACTAGTATATGCCTGGGACAAGTACAAAAGGCTAAAAGCTAAGATAAGATGAAGTTAAGGGAAATGAACCCCAAGATAGGGACACAAGTGGTTTTTTCTTTCTTGCTATTGTTTCTAACATATTTATAAGGTTCCATGTGATTTTTTTTGTTGGTTTGTATGTTCTTCCTCCATGGAATAACCCCTGTTTTCACTGTATTTGATGTCAGTATAATTTGGGGGAGGGTAAGGGAAAAAACAAAATGTTCAAATAGGAATACAAGGTGACCCATTTTAACAATGAGATGTACAAGACACTATGTTGAAAAACTAACTTTACAACTTAGGTGGGGTGGGGGGAGTGTAGTTGTGGGATGGGAGGGAAGGGATGGTAGGGGAAAAACAAAGGAGGAGGCAACAATGTTTGATAAGAAATATACTCATTACCTTGCTCATGTAACTGTAACCCCTCTGTACAGTATTTTCACAATAAAAAACTTAAAAACATTTAAAACCAAGGAGTAACCTGGTAGTGGTGGCTCATACCTGTAACCCTAGCTACTCAGGAAGCTGAGATCTGAGGATTGTAGTTCAAAGCAGGGAAGTCTGTGAGACTCCAATCTCTAATCTTCATTTTACCTCCAAAAAGACTGAAGTGCAGCTGTGGTCTAGTAGTAGAATGCTAACCTTGAGCAAAAAAGCTCAGAGATAGCACACAGACCCTGAATTCAAGCCCCAGGACCAACACACACACACACACACACACACACACACACACACACACACACACACACACACACACACACACACACACACACACACACACACACACACACACACACACACACACACACACACACACACACACACACACACACACACACACACAATGAATTGTTAACAATTCCTTTATTAAGCTGAGTGCTAATGGCTCATGCCTGCAATAATAGCTACTCAGGAGGCTGAGATATGAGGATCATGGTTCTAAGCCAGCCCAGGCAAGAAAGTCCATGAGACTTTTATCTCCAATAAAACTCCCCCCTAAACTGTAAGTAGATCTGTGGCCCAAGTGGTATAGTGCTAGACTTGGGAAAAAGAAGCTCAGGGACAGCACCTAAACCCTAGGACCAAAAAAGAAAAAAGGTTCCCTTATACTACCTTTTCTTTGTTTTTAGCCATAAAAGACATTTTGAATTTTCTATGGTGTTCATAAAGCCATGACATTTCAATAAGTAAACAACATGTAATCATTGTGTGTGTATATGAAAATGAACATTTCTTATATGACCAACATTTCATGTATATCTTTTTAATTATTTTTAGTATAATTTGATACTGCATATATAATTTTACACCCTACATTTTTGCTTAGCACTATGCTATGAATATTTTCTCAGTCATTAACAATTCTGAGATAATTTTAAGTACTTATTATATTTCATTGCAAAAATGTCTAGCTAGTTATTGAGCCAATAATACCTCATGGTTGTAGATCACTAGATATATTGTTACAATAGATTGGAATTTAGGGTGGGAAATCAATGTATGTGAACTTTTCTATATCTTTGATGATCAATTTAGGTCAGTTTGCTAGAAGCATAGTTAGTAGGACAAACATTTTTAATAAGACATGAAATTTTGTTCCTCAGATATCTTCCCTATATCCCAAAAGCAGGCAAAATTCCCCTGTTGTGTGTGTGCTTTAGAACTCTGTAGCCCATAATATTCACCTCCTTCATGATCTTCTTCTCCCTTTTTTCATATCTAGTTGTATTTTGTTCCCTTTTAGACTGAAATACTAGATTAAAAAGGGTCATGTGAATTGCGCAGCACCTACCACAGATCCTATCTTTGTACATTCATTGAATTAACTGAATAGTTAGTTGTGTGTTATTAAAGGATGTTTCAAAGCTTGCCCCAAAAGCACTGTTTGTTTATACTCAACTCAGTGTATTAATAACCCAAAAATATACTACTCAGAATAAAATATTCGAATTCAGCTTTGGTAATACATGAAGATAGTGATTTAGAACTAAGCACTCAGCAACTATGAGTTCAATGAATGTCTTAAGATCTGCATTAAAGATTCAGTGAAGACTGAGAGATCTGAACATTACCAGCTCTCGAGGCAGAAAACTTCCTTCTTGGCGGGCAATGACCAATGATGCTGTTTCTCCTTGCTTGGTGCTCCTCAGCATGGCGACAAGCTCTTCCTGAGTTCGTCCAGTGACATCTTTACCATTTACCTAATAGGTATAATCATGCAGACAGATTCATTAAACAACTTTCTATCTCCTCCTCTCCAATGTTTATCTCCTCCCCTTTCTTCCCTTTTCCTCTCACATCCCCATCCCTTCTCTCCCCTCCCCCTCCTTCCCCCCTTCCTCTTCCTCCTCTTCCTTCTCCTCTTCCTCTTTTCTCTCAAACTCCCTCCCAATTCCCTTTTCTGAGGTAAGACTGGCCTTGTAGCCCAGACCATTCTCAAACGTATGATCCTGCTACCTCTTCCTCTCAAGTGTGAGGTAAAACTGACGCATGTTTCTGATAACACACCAACCATCATATTTATGATGGTAGACAAACCTGGTAATACCAGCCATTTTCCTAAGATACCTTATTTTTATAAGAGGAAAGTCAAAGTGATAAGCAAAAATAGTGGATTCATCAAACTGATAGTATTTTTGTTTGTTTTTGCAATACAATAAGACATGAACTCTATCACATGGCAAATTCTTCTGGAAATATAAATATTTTGATATAAACTTCCCTCCACATCTAGATTATAGTTAGCAGATTATCATCTTGGAAACTCTAATTTGGAGCTATATAAGTCATTTGGTGGCACTTTCTTCATGATCCAGAACCACATGAAAAGAATTGTAACTTTTCATGACAAAAGAGTATTAAAGCATTATCTCCTATCGGGAGATAGGAAAACCTAACTTCAACAAAGTTAGGAAAGTTTTCATTATTAATTAGCTCCGTGTCACTGGCAATGTTAAGTGGCCATTAGAGTCCTTATATTGTCTAGAATTAATTATATTCAATGTGGTACACTTAACGGAATGTATTAATTTTCAGTCTGTATATCTGTGAATTTCATATCAGCAGATTCAACCAACTTCAAGTTAAAAAAATCTTTAAAAGGTCTCCAGCTATAACTCAATGATAGAGTGCTTGCCTGGTATAGGAAGGCTCTAAATTCAACCCCCAGCACTATAAAATAATAACTGGTTTGTTTTTTTTTTGGTCATATGTGTTTGGTGCAAGCATATAATCCCAGCTATCCCAATACCCGGGAGACTGAGGCAGGAAGAGCATGTGTCTGAGGCTGGGCTGGGCTACACAGCAAGACTCTACTGACCATAAAAAACCCAAATGAATATTTAAGTAAATAAAACTGTATCTGTGTTTAACATGGACTTTTTTCTGTGATTTTCTAAAATCAAAGGATAACTATTTTCTTAACATCTATATTGTAGTAATAATATAAAGTAACCTACTGATGCTTTAAAATATGTAGGAGGCTGTGTCATGTTGTATGCAATTTTACATAGAGGATTTAAGCATGTTCAGATTTGAATACTGTTCTTCCAAATCAATGCTTCTGAGATATAAAAGGTACCTGTATATATGTTCATGTAAGGGCTGATTTAAATATTAAGAAATACTTCATTGAATACATTAATTTCAAGTCTTACCTCCAAAATTCTGTCCCCTGATTGTAGGCGACCATCTTTTATTGCTGCTCCTTTTGGTAAAATATTTTTTACAAAAATTGGCCCAGGCCCATGGATGGAAGAATCTCTAGTAACCACAGTGAAACCAAGTCCTTCAGAACCTAGTATAGATGACCAGGTCAAATTAAGGAACAGTAATACTATATTCAAACTTACACTAAAATGCACCTAATTTAAATTAAGATAGAAAAGTAAAGGAGATTTTAAAATGTTTCAGTTGTTCTACATTTAAATAACAATTACAGTTGCCAATAGGTTTTGAAGGTATCAAAGGGAATTTAGAGCTCTACACCACATACATCTGTCAACATTTTTATTTATTCAAGTTCTAGAAGAAAAACATGTTACGTGCATACTTAGAGACTTACTTCCCAGTAAGTCATACTGGAAGTCATCTTTCCTGGGATGCAAAAGGTTATACAACCAGAGTTTTGTTGTTCTCTCAATCAGTTGACCAATCCGTGGCTCACTGCTCCACTGATGTATGGATCCCTTACATCGCTGAAGCCCATTGTCCTTCCAGAGTCTTACTGCCCTGCCCTCCTTTCTTGCTGCTTCAATAGCCCCCTTATATTGTATTTTCCACTCTGTCTAAAAGTATGTTCATATGTCTCTACCCGAAATAATCTTCACTTCCACTTTAGTGCTCTCTCAAGCTTCTACCACTGAGGACTTACAGCTATAGTTTGGGTAAGTGTCCCTTAACTTAAAACCACTTAGTAATTCTCCCCATCCTTGGTCTTTCTCCTATTTATGTAACTTCCTACTAATGGTTTTATGAAATTAACTCGCCCTGATTTGTAATAGCTCTATTTTTCTATCTCTTTGGTCATTTAGCATGTCTGCTACTCAATAACCCCTACCATTAAACTCCTACAAAAACAAAGATGTTGCCAAAGCCTGTGTTTTTGGACACTATATCTTCTGGACTTCTTGCCTTGGTCATGTCCTGGCTCCAAAATCATCTCCCAATACCTGCTCTGTAGACCAAGTCTGATGTGAGCTTCCTAGATATTACCAGTTAATGGTTTGGCCATTAACTCACCATGGGAACTTCAAATATCACTATGTACTGTCTTTTTCAACCCAGATCTTGCCCCTTTTCAAACATCCCAATCGACTTAACATTTGAATTTCTATTAAGGATATCTTTATTATGTGAATTTCCCTGCTAAAAACCTCAACAATAACTATAATCTGCTTTCTTCCTTCTTACAATCATTCAATGATTAAGGCATGCATATTCCATTTTCACATTTAGACAGGCAACATATCCTTTTCTGTTCTGGTCTCCTCTCTAGAATGTCTTTTTGCTTTCAGATTAATCTTCCCTAAGGATAGCTCTAATGTCATTCTTTTTCATTTAAGGCTTTCTGATAGATTTTAAAATGGCTGTATGACTGATTTACTATTCTGTCCCCAAAGTATATATCTCCATGTCTCATACAATTATTTATACAAAAATACATCTAATGCATATAAATAAAAATTCTAACTAATAAGCACATTGCAGTATTTGTGCCTCTTATTCAACTCAATTTATTCCCAGTATAGGATTTTTATGGTAAGTGAAATTCTGATCAGAGAAATCTTTTTTAGAATAATATGCATATCTGTATTAAGCATACATGTTGTTTTTGAAATATATTAGTAAGCCTTGTGACTATTAAATTCTCTATTGATTCAGCCAAGAATCTGGGTCCTTGTAATTGTCTTGGAAAGACAGGATTTAAGAAGATTGCAACTGGGAAAGGAGAAAGCCAGTAGAAGTCAAAAAGTAAACAAAGATATAAAGGAATGTGAATGAGTGTGTATAATATTGCATAAATATGCATGTTCACACATGATCTAGTCTCACTGACGTGTGCTTGACATAACAAAGATGAAGAAACATAACAGTCATTTTAAAAATCTATCAGAAAGCCTTAAATGAAAAAGAATGACATTAGGGCTGTCCTTAGGGAAGATTAATCTGAAAGCAAAAAGACATACTAGAGAGGAGACCAGAGCAGAAAAGGATATGTTGCCTGCTAAAGATGAAGAAAAGGTTATATACGCGTCTGAATCTACTAGTAATGTTTAAACAATGAAATTATTAATAATTATATATTTTTTCTCTGGAATAAAGTTGTGCTGATATAAAAATCTCTCAGACAGCAAGACCATATGCTTGTCATATGTTACCTAAAGGATGCTTAAAAAAATCACTAATTGTGTCCCAAATGAGGACATCTCTATTTTAATATCTATTTAGTGTTAAACTGTAACACAGTATTCTTCATTTTGAGCAAGTTTGCAACGATTTCTTTCCACTCCCCAATTTGTCTTTATTGTTTTCCTGTTTCAAATAACCTATACTCTACAGTAGGAAAGATGAAGAAAGTAGTACAATGTCCTGAAAGTTAGGTTGCCCAAGAATACACTTAAAATCTATTCTTTGATACAATTAAATGAAAGGGGAATTAACTAAATTAGCTTTAATGCATTTCTCTTAACCAATTTTACATGTTACAATAATAGAATGCTATTAAGCATAATTTAATAATTACCTTTCTTTAGGTCAATCTTAATTTTCTTGGCATTCTTCTTGCTGCCAAACCCCATGAGAGGGGAGAGTGAGGGAGAGGAAGGCTTTCTTCCTAGTCTTGGTACTCGGGGGCTCTTGCTTTGCTGCAGGGAAGCTGATGTATCTGTTTCAGGACTGTTCATTCCTGTGAGATTTACTGTCTTCAGTCCCGGTTTCCCATGGACAGGTGGTGTCACCTTTGTTCTCAATGCACCATTGCTGTTACCAAATATGTTAAGGGGTCCGATGACTGATTTTTCATACTGTTCACGGTTTTGAGGTGGAAGCACATGGAGGAGCACACTTGAAGAGTTCATCGCCTGACGGAAGATACCTTGTGCCCTTGAAAGAGTAAGTTACATTGATACTGTGTTCTCCTGAGCTACCTACCTCCTAATTTCCTAGGTGACTCAGCATGGTGGCGACCAGGAACAGCACAGTAGTAGTCTAAGCATGGGAGGCACTAGGAATACCATCACGGATGGGACACTGCTAACTAATTACTAGTTGGCACTTACTCCCTGCCAACTAATGCCCCCTCTACCCGGCTGCCCATGCCTGATAATCATGCAAAGTTCTCTCATTTTAGTCTACTTAACAACCTCCTAAGGTAAAAATAGTAAATTCTCATTTTGCAAATTCAAGTTGAGGCTAAGAGAGATTAAATAATTTGCCCCATGATTCTGAGCTTTCAAGTGTTTCTAAATCTGAAATTTTAACCAGAATTAATTAACGGAAAAAAACATGTAATAAACTAACTTTAATGTAAATGGGGGAAATCATTTAGCATTTTGATCAGATTATTAATATGCTATTTTTGCTTGAGAGGAAAATCAGATTTTCCTCCATACCAACTCTGAACAAAATTTCTATGACTTTTCATTCTGCTCATGTATGCCAAGAATGATTCTGTCTGTCTTGCCCCTATCTATCAAATTCTTATAAAAACGTATAGCAGTGTATACAAATTATATCATTACTAATAATTATGACTTTGCCTACCAGTATTTTAACAAAATAGATTCTTTTGTAGGAGTTAGTACCTACTTTCCTTCTACTCACAACCAAACTCTCTTGTCTGCCTACAGTATTGAAAACTAATGCCTAGGAAGGAGATGTAGTATGAGTGGTCTGGGTCTGAATTAGTTGAGGTTGTTGATTATTACCAAAAAGTATTAGTGCTTATTCCCTTAATTTGAAATCCCAATGCAATGCCAACATACATTAATAAATATAAATATGCATCAGTCTGCTACATATTCTAAGTCTTTCAAAAAAAAGAGAGAGAAAATGTATTCCCATAACATTTTCACATTCTGAGATGTGATTTCTGGAGGGAGAACATTTTAATTTTAATTTAGACATTTGTTTGTATTATTTACAGTCTTAGATTCGATAGTTATAGATATTTCTCACTGATTTTAGAGTTCACAGAAAACGGCTGACATCAAATAGGTTAATTAATAAGCTGGAACAAATAGTCTGTAAAGAGAACCATTAAATACCAGCATAACTGACCCAGAGCCCATGAAAAACAAATCCTTCCATAGATACCCCAGCAAGAAAGCCAGGCAGGAAGGCTTGCTCTGTTCTGTGGCTTCACATGCCTAGAAGTTGTGGCCCACGTGTGGGCCACCTTCTAATATGCCGAATGTAAAACGCATTTGAAAATGGATGTTAAGGGGTCACTTAAAGAGAATTGACCAGAAATTCCACCTACAATTTTTCTCATAATGAGTTCCATAATGACTGCAAATATCCCAAGGATCAATAAAGTAAACAAAACAACAAAAAATGCTTACTGAGCAAAAGTTTTGTCCACAAGATCCACACTGTTGATTTTTACAATACATTCATTCTCATGAAAGAGTCCTTCCCGTTTGCACCTGCTGTTTTCTTCAATGCCTCGGATGAAGAGTCCTAGGATCCTAAACACAAATTTTAATTTGAAATAGGATTATTAAACACCAGTGTGCTAATTTTTTTCACTTGCAAGTATTCAGAAATAAGTGTTGATTTCTATTTATGAAATACAGTATCCTTTCTATGCAGGTAACTGCAAACACACACATATGCATACAACTCATTTCTCAATTCTGCAATTCCATGTCTCATGCTTGCCATAAATCAGAAATGCTAGAATAGCTTAGTGAAGTAGAGAAGAGAGAAGACTTGTGGTGTGACAAAGGGCATCACATTTGTCTGTAAGCCTGAGTCATTGCCAAGGTGAGGACATGATGCTTAGACATTCACAGTGCCCTTTTGAATCTTACTACCTGTTCAGTAATCAGCATGCTAAGAAATAAACAAGTGTTTAAGATTGTATTACTGAGAAGAAAGATCAGTCTCAGCAGTTAGTGCTGCTGAATTCAGTGAGCACTTGGTTTTTTCCTCTGATGTCTAGAAGAAATAAGAGGAGAAAAGGTCATAGGACCAGGACTGGGTAAATTAGTAAGTACAGGTTTAAGGTAAAGGAGATAGTAATAGAAAAATTAAGCTAGAGTCATCATAGGATTTCAGAGCTAACAACAGATAAGTCATTGACATGTCATGGTTTCAAGACCCCCTTGGATAAAAACAAAACAAAACTGTGACCGCTTGAGTTCTTTCCATAAAATGGCATAATAGTTGCATCCTTCTGGATATCTTTAAATCATCTCTAGATTACTAAAAACAGTTGATACAATGGAAATGCTTTTTAAATAGTTGTAGCTTATTGTTTGAGAACAATAATAATGACAAGCAAAAAATCCCTTGATATATATATATATATATATATATATATATATATATATATACAATACAAATATATTTTTCCTACCATTTTCAATCCATGGGTGATTGAATCCACTGTGAATGAGAAACTCATACAGAGGCCAAATGCATGTGCACATGGATATGTATTTGTGCACACACACAACTCTGTTATTTTTATAAACCCCAAACTAAACCAATAATGAAAATGAAAAGGAACAAATCTTGTATCTATCTTTATTGCTTCTCATTTGAGAGATTTCCTTTCTCTTTTGGCATGTCAGCATACTAGCTGTGTCTCAGAGAAAGATGATAGGTATGTCTTCTAGGAGGAAGCCCCTGAGTGTAGAGACATTTCCCTTGCCACGTTTCTTGTCCTTTTGTTTTTGACTTTGTTGCTTTCTTTTGTAGAAGAGCCTTGTGTGCCATTACACAGTCCCTTTGCATTAAATTCCAAATCTAAATAAAATATGAGCAGATTTTATGTGTGAATAATAAGGTCAGTCATGGAAAAAGGGCAGCCTGTAATGAAAATGTTGGAGAAAATGATCCTCCTGTCTGGAGTAGCCACAAAGTTGAGCCTCTGCTTCGAGGCCTCAGTTCATTTAATGAGCTCATACCATCTTGAGATATCAATGGGCAAGGAATGCACAGTGATATTTAGGTCTTACTTGAAAAAAAAAAGTTAAATGAGAACAGTATGCTGCAGCCAGAGATGGAACAGCAAAGAGTCACGCTGCCTACTGCATGAAGCAGTTGAGGTCAGGTGCAAATGGAGACTGAGGTCTGATGCTTCACTTCCTCCTTCTACTATGTTAGTAAATTAATCAAGCATTCTGTGTTAGCATCCTCTCCTAATAGAATATTAAAAGTTGAATGACCATGGCACACAGAACTGAAGAAATAGATCAACACCGCGCTTTTTCCACAATGAAGCATTTTCTGATAGCTCACATTCTGGATTTTTGTTATGGTGGGTTCACAATAACATGATCCATTAGAAGGCTCACATGTGGTTATAAAATAGTTTATGTAAGTGATATTTTTTTAACAAGCATTCAAGTCTTCCTTTAATTTAATTCAGTACATCATCAGTCATGTAATGTTACTCCCTAGGATTTAATTTCACATTTTGGGAGATGAATTAATTCTTTCAGGCCGCTGGGTTGCAATTTAGCTTGCACATCACAGCTGGAGTATGCTATGTGAACCTCGCTGATCTAAATAACCTAACTTCCATGAAAAATTTATTGACAGAATAAGCCCAACTGTAAAACCCATGTGTCAGAGGTAATTTTGGTAAAATGTAAAACTGACTGATTTTATTAGTTTGGTCCCTGGCAACAAACCACCCTTGCCCTCTCTATGCCATGGAGGAGATGGATTCTCTCCAGTATGATGTCATCCACACCACTAGTTGAAGGCTCAGAAAGAGTATCTCATTCTCCTCCTTGGTCCAAACTGGTGGGCTACGGTGTCTGACTCATGTGAAGCCAAGATTCACAGGATTTAAAGATAAACGTTGCTGAGAAACTATAGGCCAAGACTAACCAGTTCTTTTGCATTTATAAGCAGTGATAAAGGAAGCTAAACCATACAGCCTATGGGAATAAGACGAGCAATGTTTGCTTCTTGCTCATGCAGTATCATTGAGGCAACAACATCTCTCCTTGCTCATCCTGCTCCCCCTCAACCCCACCCCTGCCCCAGTATGGTGTTATATAGATTTGCCCCTCTACCTGCTGAACATTTTTGTCTCAACATCTCACTTTCTGTACCATTTTTCCCCCATCTCTCACCTTTCTCCTCCTCTCTTGTGTTTAGCTGCCTTTACGCTGAAGCTGAAGTATATTATGCTATGTTTGTTGAAAAGCACTAGATCTTAGGTTGTAAAAAGTCACATTCACAGTCTAGAAGTAAATTATGTTGTTTTTACTTGCAAGAACTTAGTATATTGTATTCGTCTAATGAATTCACAGAGACACTATCTGCTATAGCAGTATCTATATTTTTATTAAGGTTTTTTATGAAGGTTAGGTTTCTTATTCAACGACAGGTGTGCCAGTATTTTTCTAAAAGAAAAAAAAAACCACATCGGAGGCAAAAGCCAATTACAGTAGTCTTAATAAGGAATTAAATGTAAATTCTAATTTAAAATAATGACACCGGCCAATAAATGGAAGGAAATGAAAGAGCTAAGTACAGCGCCATGACCCTAAGCCCCTGTGCTCACACAGTGAAACCATATGGCATTACAAAGTCAGACTCTTGTCAGACATGCTGTATACACAGTTGTATCTACACACATGGGTTGAGTTAAGTGTGCTGTTTCAGCCTGTACTCATTACTTTATAACTTTTACTGGCTCATGTCTCCACTTCCATATTATTTTTAATGTTTTTAATTAAATTTCCTTCCTATAATACTAGTAGATAGCAAAAATATAATAATAATAATAATAATAATAAATTTCTCCAAGTTACTAAACAGTTGACTATACATTTATAATAAAAGTTTATTTCTGAATTATGCTTTTTTGTTGTAGCCAAAACAATACTGATAATTTGTAAGTTCATAGCTTGTGGGTTTTACTAAGAACTTTCACATTTTAATGCCATTTAATCCCTATAACCTTGAAGTAAAGTAGGTATTTGCAGAAGACAAGTTTGGGAGGCTTGCTGAAGGTTATATGGAAAAAACACCAGTATTCATTCCAGCTTTTCTGAATTCAAGTCCAGGCTGAGGCTAGGAATCAAACCAGAAAGAAGAAGAAGGGAGGAAACTAATAAACTCCAGTGTTTTCTTAAAAAATTATTATTATTACTTGAAAAGAGAGTAGATGATTTTCCATGTACAGGGCCAGTTTGTTTTTGAACTATTGAAAATGATGTATAGTGAGCCACATTGTACATTTTCTCATTTTTCATAAATTGGGAAGATCTCATGTTCTATTCCAGCTTCATTGAGCTAAGGGAACTGGTAATTTAACCACTCCACTATTTCACAAAGCTCTCAGAACCCTTCTGCCAGAGGCCATTAGTATTTCTCATGAGGATGGAGTACTCAGCCTGTCTATCAAAAACAATCTCGGTTTGTCCTATGCCATAACCCATAACGTTTATAAACATGCTTATTAATACATACAGGAAACCAGACACAAGAGCTGTTAGTTTTTTGGTTCATTCTTTTCTAAGTAACATTCATTCCAGGAAGAGATGATTGGCATCAGCTGTTATTTTGTAATAAAATAAAATAATAATAAGATGACTTTGCAGTTACAGTTAGCAGATGGCTACCTGCTGAATGCAATGCAAGTCGAAATACCATGGGTAAATCTTTTTCTATTGGTATGGCAGACTGAACTGAATACATATTTAGCACTGCAAGTTAATAGTATACAATCATTGGAAACATTAGTTGTACAAAGAATAATGGAGTGAAGGCACATTGGGAGATTTGTTTTTTGTTGCGCTTTGTTTTTTTAGTGACTTTGGGAAAATCAATGGACTTTTCTGGTCTTTCACACACTAGGCTAAAATAAAACATTCTGACTTTTCAACAATACCTTTAAGAAAATGAATTTACAAACTAATGAAAGTATGCCATGCGGATAAGAATCTGATTTTCCTTTAAGTTTCTGTCAACCCTTGTCAATATATCCATCTAGGGCTATAGAGAGTCATCTCATTGAAAAGCAACATAGTCTAAACCTAGTGACGTAATACCGAAAACTAGTTCCATAAGGTCTTTATACTATTACTATTATTAGCTCTGAGGCAAGTACTTTTATTTATACTCACAGAACATATTTTACATCCAGTTAGATAGATATGATTTTCAAGAAATATTAACACAATCCAAATTTTTATTTGCCAGTTAAAAATAAAGATATGTCGAATTATTTTCAATGGCATAAATTATAATTTAGTAAAAGCAAACTGACATTTTTCTTCGCTAGCAGAGCCAGCTCTATAGTCTTATTTTTAAAGTCTGAGGAAATGTCAGTTTGGAATCAATACCTGATTGACATGTATTTTCTATTATTACAAAAGTTCAGTTGCAACATTTGTCTAACAATATGTTAAAAATCGGTGCCAAGATTCTGTTTATTGTGTATTACTGACAAAGACACTTGAAAGAAAATGTTTTACAATTAATCATAAATGGAGAAAATGTGATAAATGTTTTTCCTTTTTACAGTATCCTCAAAGTAAATGATTTAATTTTGTTGCCAATACATGTGGCCAACAAAATTATAAGTAGAGAGGTCCATCTGACTAAGATAAAATTGTACTTAATCCTCTGCCGAAAAATGATGACATGACAGAGAGCATGTCATGGTTTTCATTAGCTTGGGCTTCTGAAACAAGGAAAACAGCTTACCTTCCACTCAGAGATGAAAAGAACGGCACAACATGTATTCCCAAAGGACCTCCTTCCCCAGAAATCTCCACTCTTCTCGTCATATCACTGGGGCAGAAGAAAACACAGATGAGTCTTGGCCAAACACCAGATGAGGCACATTAGCCTCCTTCCCCTCACAATGAATCAACCGCTGTAACTTCAACAGCTGAGGTGTAGTTGAAATGTATATGGTTAACTGGTTATATTAGAAAAAAATCGACAAAATAATATGCCTAAAAGACTATCTGGTTCCTTATTTTTATCCTTAGGCAAGGCACAAGAAATCTTAGCACAATCTAAATTACTACAAAAATAACTTCCCACTTAAATCTGCATAAATCAACATATTTAAAAACAGGTACACAAGTATAACATTTCATCCCAATGATACTCATTTGAAAATTTCTTTACAGCTCCTAAATGCATGAAAATACGTAGATCTATGCTGAGGCATAAAGCAAGCATTTTTTTCCAAGCAGTAAATATCAAATATAAATCTTTATTAGAGAAGGCTTGAACTACATTTCATACTGGCTGTGAGACCACAGTTGGACTTTTTTAAAGCAACATAATAAAAACTTTAAGTTGTATAAGGTTTTTCAATGGAATAATTCCAAATATTCACCTCCTGAATTTTTTAAAATTTATTTTTAAGGTAGAAAAATAGGTTGCAAAACCTGGAGAAAATGTATTATAGAAAGAAATAGAAAGCCTGACCTGCCTCACCTAGCCCAGATTAAGGAAAAGATGAGCTAGAAACATTAATGTATAGTGTGTATGATGGAAACAGAGGCACTGGGAGTTTTTGTGTAATAAAGAGCGGAACTAACAAGTTTTTTTAAAGATGAAAAATAATAACCATGAACAAGTATTGGCTCCTTTAATCCCAATGAGAGAAAATAAAATTGCCAGAGGAAAATGATAAAGTTGATGCAAACATCCCCTCTATGGAAATTGTAGCAGGTTTCTATTGTTCCATATTTACATGAAAATGACCTGAAACTAGATGTCAAATTAAGAGCTACAGCTGTTACAAATGCTTTTCCGCTCCAAATTGAAAATGGTGAAATTTTGGCTCTTTGCTAGAAAGTTGAGAACAGTATTAAGAAAACAAAATGCCTGATGAATTCACTCTGTATGAAGTAGTCTTTAAATAATCAAAAATCTATATGCTCATCAGTGTATTAAAAAATAAGTATTTTAAATACATTCTTACCAGTGCATTAAACTTATTTTTAATGTGTTTTCTTTGAAAGCCTATTATTAAAAAATGCACAAAATAAGCATGACAGTTTCCAGTACTTTTTGTAAGATGATAGAATTTTAAATCTGACAATAAAGGTTCACATGTTTTCCTTCCAGGATATGGCTGATACATGTTAAACTCAGTAAGCACCTTATATCAAAGGCCTGGATAAAAGTTAAAAACTGAACAAACATTAGAGTAATGATGCAATATGAAAGGATCCTTATTTAAATGTGTGAGAATATGAACCTTTGTATAAATATATGTATTTGGATGGAGCTATGAGGTATGCATTGTAAATCCTGAATGTTTAATGGACAGAGAAATTATACAGAATTTAATAAACTAAAGCTTTTTAAAAAGGCACTTAGGCCACACTAAACCAAAAGTACCCAAGTTCTAGTTTCATTATGACATTTAAAAACAGACAAATTTTGTCTAAAGGAATCTGGAATATAGCTCAGTGGTAGAGTGCTTGTTTAACATCTTCAGGGAATTGGGATAAATCCCCAGTATCTCAAAAAATATTGTTTAACCACTGAAACATTATCACCTTTCCAGATAAATGCATCAAGAATCCCTGTTTGCTAATGGATAGCACCCATATGTAATATATAGAGAGGTCTTAAAATATAAATGTTTAGTCTAGCATGCTTCGAGATTTCAGCTTAAGAACTTTTAGGGTGGCTTTCTTTTATAGATGATAGATTTTTATGGATTTTCATTTTTTCTACTTTATAAATATTGCTTTATCTCTATACCTATAAAACATAATGAATTCAATGCATCCTGTTGATATCTATACTCTAATATTTATCAATTGGTATTTTTACATTCACCTAATAAAAGATACCTTATACTTTGCTCAAGTAATCAATCTTGTTTAATGTTGCTACAATTTTTAGAAGAATGCAGTTTTAAATGTATGCTTCTAGATGAGTCCTTTCTTTAATATTTCAGAGTAAAGCTTTTAGTTAGCCATTACACAATAGTCACAATACTTTGGCTAAAAGAATTTTTGATGATTATTAGGTTACTCTCACAAAAATGCTACTATCCTAGGGAAAAAGGAATAAAAACTTCCATTTTTATCAACTTTTATGCAAGCATTTATAGCAAATTATATCTATTTAATAAAGAAAAGCAATACAATTTTAATTCATATCATGTTTCACCATGTTCTTTATAAAATGCTATGCTATTTGTTTCCAGGTGAAAAACCATATGAAATAGTAGTCACGGAAACAAGTCCCAATATTTTTATTTATAGTCAAAAGGAAAACACCCCACAGTATTTTTTATAAATTCTTGATGGAGTTCTATAAAAATTGCTGTATATACACACTTCATGAATTACAAACACAGCAACTAATACTTGACACAGTTATTGGAATACATATCTCAAATAGTGACATTTTTCAAAGATGTAAAAATGGGCTATTAGTGCTGTTGGTTTAGATAAATGCCAGCGTGCATGCAGGACTTAGAGAACAGAGAAGAGTATGGTTTGGAGCCAGTATAGTAACCAGAAGACAAGCTGGAAGGTGAACTCACTATTGGAAATGTAAGAAATGAGGGGAAAGAATAATCTAGGAAGTATAAAGGAAAAAGAATGCTAAAACGTGGATCAAAAATTGAATTGTGAAGTAAAGAAAAATATTGCTTATATCAAGAAGAAAAGTGGATTCACTAGGAATCAAATGAACAATTTTTATACAGGATACTAAGAAATACTTAAAATAAGTAGAACACTACAGAGCATTAGGTTAACTAATATTAACCACACTAAATTGCCTTAAGGTGATCAATTTGGACACATTTGACTCAAATAATGACTAGGACCAGCTGCTACCAGTCTAAGAGCTCAGGACAGAGCTATGGGCAAAGCTAACGTTAGTGGATTACAAGGAGACTGTCATTATGACTGGTTACTCTGCTAGAGCTGGATGTTAAGTGCTTCAATTGATTTGTACCCAGAAATAACACTTGAAGCCTGAGGCAGAAAATGCAACAGACACTTCAGCTGATTTCTTCATACCAAGCAAGTGGGAAGACTTTGAAACTGAAATTATTCAAGTCATTTAACGGACAGTTTCACAGAATGAATTCCAGAAAGATGAAACATGCTTTGTCTAAGAGGGTGGAGCATATGGGGAGATAGGATCGCTCAGGGAAGAGAGGTATGGTGGGCAAATATAGACATACTACTTATTTAATGTACACATATGAAAATGGATCCCTGTAACTTGAGGGAATGAGTGGGGGAGGGATAGATGGGGGAGAATGAAATAAGGGGTGACACTGATAAAGAGACATTGTACTCATATCAGAAACTGATATGTTGAATTGACACCTCTGTTCTTGCAGTTACTTAAATCTAATAAAATAAAGAAAAAAAGGTTACTCAACTCAATCCTACGCGTTTCATTGAGGTCTGGGAGAGACAATATTGAGGACAGAGATGGGGGGATTCTGCAATCTAGAAGCAAAGTTGGGTGTGGCTTAAATGATAGAGAGTATGTGTAAGGGAAGCAATCTTCTCTGCTTTTAAGGTCGTAAAATATCTGAGTAAGTCATTTAAACCAAGACCCAAAACCTCAATTTCCTCATTTGTTCTGTCTAATGAGGACATTAAGATTAGGAACTTTTTTTAAATGGAATTGTTGGTGTTAATGAGAAAAATAGGGAATAATCATACATAGGTATCTGGAATATATAAAGGGATCAATAACTGCTATCTATTAGTATGATTCTTAGAATTTTCTAAAGGAATTAACACATTTGTATACTAAAATGAAATACTTCATCCTTAGCATAGAAAGGAATTGGTAAACTGGTGCCGGTGGCTCATGCCTGTAATCCTACCTACTCAGGAGGCTGAGATCTGAGGATGATGGTTCAAAGCCAGCCCGGGCAGGAAAGTCCATGAGATTCTTATCTCCAATAAGCCACTAGAAAACCAGAAATGGTGCTGTGGTAGAGTGCTTGCCTTGAGCTGAAGAGCTCAGGGATAGCATCCAGGCCTAGAGTTCAACCTCACAAGCAACAGCAACAAAAAAGGAATTGGTGAGACTTTTGAAAAATTGTTAAATACTTTAGGTTTGAGAAATACATCTTCTGTATTGCTAAAATGGAGAGAGAAGACAGAGTTATAACAGATGGACAGAATGTGTGTGCTGGTATCTCTAGGAAATGAATCATTGAATCACAAACATATTCTAGGTAATGGGTAAAAGATGGACTGCACAGTGAAACCATGAAGAGTATGCAATTGACCTTGTGCTCGTCTTGATGTGAAAAGTCTTTTTTTTTGGGGGGGGGGGGTTCCGGTCGTGGGGCCTGAACTCTGAGCCTAGGCGCTGTCCCTCAGCTCTTTAGCTCAAGGCTAGCACTCTACCACTTGAGCCACAGCACTACTTCCGGCTTTTTTTCTTTTTGCTTATGTGGTGCTGGGGAATTGAACCCAGGGCCTCAGACATGCAAGGCAAGCGCTCTATCACTGAGCCACCTTCCCAGCCCCGATGTGAAAAGTCTTATGGATGGGAATAGATCAGAAAAATTCAACAAAGAATGTGTTGTTGATTGTGGGACTCATTGAGCCCATTGGAATTCAAAAAAACATAAATTAGTCATTTCTCTGAGAAATATTGGCTAATATACAAAGACCGGTACTTAAGAAAGTCACAATTTAGGGAGAGAGCTGAGAAATATGGAAAAATATTGAGAAATAGAATAATTATGCAGGTTAAATATCCCTGTTCTAAAAGGTCTGCATTCAAAAGCATTTCTAATTTCCATTTTTTTAGCTTTGGGATATTTCCATTTATGTAATAAAATTGGGGGGATGTGTTCCAACTCAAAACATAAAAATCATTTTTATTTCACATACATCTTAAACATATAGCCTGGAATTAATTTTATAAAGCATTTTAAATAATTTTGTTCATGAAAGAAAAGTTATATGGTGCAGAATTTTCCTTTTATGGCATATCCTGGCACTGAAAGTGTTTTGGATTTTAGCAGATTTCTGGTTTTCAAATTATGTATGATCAACTCCTAGTAGTAGAAAGGATAGTATATGTTCAAAGAATATAGGTTAATATTTGGGAAGCAGTATGCTAACTGGCTCTGGGCAGTCATCACAAATATATAAACACTATATATCATTTCATTTTAGAGGAAAGCAAAGCCAATGCTTAGAGAAGTCACAAAGTTGTCCAACATCAAACTAATCATGTAAAATAAAGTCAGGACTTAAGTTTGGATGTATTACCCTGTAGAAAATGAGTAGTATTGGAAACTTCGGCCAAAGGGAAGGATTAGTAGAAATGTATATAAACATGGGTGCAACTGACTTCCAACAATAAGTTATATTCATTATTAACATGTAAAGCTCCTGGTTGATGGGCTTACTTCATTTTATATGCATCAAATAAAACAGTAAAAGCACAATATGAAGCACTACTTGAAATGTTAGAGTCAAAGCAAAACACTCAAGCACCATGGACTCTGAAGTGTTCACTTGAAACTGCTGTTCAAAAACAATGAAAAGTAATTAAGAAATCCTGGTGGCAGAAGAAAATGTGAAGGATTATGAATCAATCACTTGTGTAACCAACACACATACACAAATTCTCATATCTTAAGTAAAAAAAAATAGGAGAAGAACATAATCAAATAAGGAATGTTCTAATTGGGATATGCTCCACTCTACAATTCTATGTACTTGGTTTAAAAAACTGTAAAAGAAACCAACATCAAATTTAGATTTAAGTATTCTTATTTACATAAGGAAAATACCTCAATGCATCCTTGGGTTTTGGTGATGTCAGTAGTTCTGTCTGGGTACCATTCATAATTTCTCCATCTTCCAAGTTCTGCATGGAATCCTGCAGTGAAACAAACCCATAAGCTTGTAGATGTTGCACATATAGAATTGAAGATCCAAATAAAATATCTCAACGTGAAAAAGTAAATAGTTTTACTCTGGGTATAGACAGCATGTTGCAATTTCTTTTAAGCTTAGAAACAGGTGTTAATCTTTTCAATGCTTTCAATGTACTTTTCTCTCCCATTTGGTTTTTGAAATGCTCAAATGGCCCATTCACACAAGGCAATATGTTAAGAGCTTTGCAATACATCATTTAGCTTCCTGCTAAGCAAATACAGGTTTTGGGGACTGTGGCTCTGTAACAGCTGGTAAGAGAGTTTTAATGTACTGTACTTGCTTGTACTTCCCCATAACATTAAAATATAAAAAAAGCAAATCCATGAAAAGAAAAACTAATGCTTTGCAAATTCATTTTTTTCAAGAGTGTGCAGAAACAGTGGCAGGAAGAACTCAGAGTTCTTCTGTTACAGAGGTAAGATCATCAGAGACCAACAAATAGGATCATCAGGTTCCAAGATGGAGCCACTTTCCTTGCAGAATGAAGATCAAGTTGAATTGGATGCCAATCAGAGGAGTAGAGATAAAGACAGAGTCTAGAAATCCTGGTCTATGTTGATTTTCTTTTAGGGAAGACATTCTTTTTCTGTCTGGGCTTACAGCTGTTCTCTCAGACAATAGCTCCATGGATAGGCCCACTCTTTTCAAGCAGACGAACACATAATTTTAGTTACAGACCCTGTCACTGAGGCCAACTACCTGGAGAAAGATCTAGAATCAGAACTCATACTACAAATAGCATTGATGGCTCTCCATGCTTCATTCCACAAAAGAGGAAATACATGAGCCTAAGGAGTTGGATGTAAGTGAATTAGGTTTGTATGTTGAAGACAACACAGACTAGAGCTATAACTTAAGCCATTTTGTTGTATGTAGTAACTTGATTAAAAAACAGTTTTAAGTAAGTAACAACACATCCCATAAGGATAGGTGTTTCTATGAAAAATGTTTACACTAGAATTTCATTCTCTTTTTCCTTTTATTTTTTTCTCCTTTTTATAGAGAGGGAAGAAAATCTATAAGCTTCAAGGACACTTCATGGTTTAAGGAATGATGTCTGAAAAGATGAAAATAACTGAATGCTCGCATTGATACATTTTGTTTTGGTGTGTAGGTGTATGTGTGTGCACGTGTGTGTGTGTGTGTGTGTGTGTGTGTGCGTGCGCGCATGTGCATGTGTGTGCCAGCCAATTCTGGGGCTTGAACTAGAGTCCTGGGTGCTGTCTCTGAACTTCCTTTGCTCAAGGCTACCACATGAGCCACAGCTCTATTCTTGGTCTTTTTTTCTTTGTAGTTTATTGGACTTTGCTGCTTGGACTGGCTTCAAACCTCCATCTTTAGACAATAGGCTCTTGAATAGTAAGGGTTAAAGGCATGAATCACCTGTGCCCGCTGGCTTGAGTGGTTCTTACAAAAAATGAAAGAGAACTGAGTATTACTTAAGTATAAAAGTTTAACGAGACCTTGAACATGTAACTACCAAATGCCAGGAATTTGAGGTCCTCATTTATGCCCTTAACTGATCCTGTCTCTCACACAGAAGTGCTCTTGTATCTGGTTCTCTGTCCATCAACCATGCAGTGAACAACTTATTGTAGTAGTTTTTCTAAAACCATTTACTAAATGATCCTCATATTTAATGGATAAAAATATAAACACTTGTTATTCTTCATAGTTTCCGAGAGTCAAAGACTTGGAAGTGACTTAGGCGGGTACTTCTAGGACGAGATTTCTCATGAGTTTGCAGCAAGATGTCTGCAGGGCTGCAGCTACAACCATCTAAAGATGACTGAGGGCTTTAAAATTCACACAAGATTCATTCTTCTGAAAGTGACACCAGGTACTGGTGGCTTAGGTCTGCTATCCTAGCTATGGAGAAAGCTCAGACCTGAAGATGGTGCTTCAAAGCCAGCCTGGTCAGTAACGTCTGGGAGATTGTTATCTCCAATTAAGCACGCAAAAAGGCCATAAGCTATGGCTCAAGTAGTAAAGTGCTAGCTTTGAGCAAAAATGCTCAGGGGCAGTAACCAGGTCCAGGACCATCACACACACACACACACACACACACACACACACACACACACACACACACACACACACACACACACACACACACACACACACACACAAAATAAATAAATAAATAAATAATAAGAGACAAGTCAGTATTTCCTGTCTTCAGAGTTTTGCAATCAGGTTAGAACATTTTCATCAAAAACATTGTCACATAAAATAGCAATCATTCTCTATTCTCTGCTAATCAGGAATCTATTTACTGTCCCTGAGGATTTACCTATTTTGAGCATTTCATATATACAGAATCATAAGCCATGTTTTCTTTCACTTACAAGGATACTAAGTTCTACCATGATTTAGCATATGCGAGTATCTTATTCAATTTTAGGATCAAGTAACATTCTTATAGATATACTACATTTGCCTTTTCTAGTTGTCCAATGTATATGTATAGCTTTTGACTATTATGCAAAATAAGTTGTTGTGAACATTTGGGTAAGAATTCTATGTGAAGATGCTATCAGTTGTCTAAGTCTATATGAAGAATTAGAATTTTGGTAATATATCTGTAATCTTTAACATTTTTAGGAACTGCTATACTATTTTTAAAGGATCTTCCTAAGTTAGCATTTCTATCAGCTATATATAAGGCTTCTTATATACCGATCATAATCAAGGTAGGAGAATAACATACCTTTTTGCTTCCATCAACATTATGCATGGTTAAGAGAAGTTTTTCATCTAGTTCTAGTTCAATTCCAAGTAAAGATTGTATTTCTGTCAATGAGATACTTGAAGCTTTGAATACTGAGATATAACAATTACAATAACAGTCCCAATTGCCATGTGATAATCTGTTCAAGAGTAATTCTGAACTGACTACTCTTTTGCAACAATCACATCATGAGGTGTAGGGTGAGAAAAGATCACATTTGAAGATGTGTATATCCTGGACAAGAGTTCTACTATTTAAAAATAGCTCTTTGCGCTGGGCGCCAGTGGCTTGCGCCTGTAATCCTAGCTACTCAGGAAGCTGAGATCTGAGGATCACAGTTCAAAGCCAGCCCGGGCAAGAAAAGTCCGTGAAACTCTTATCTCCAATAAACCACCAGAAAACCGGAAGTGGTGCTGTAGCTCAAGTGGTAGAGTGCTCACCTTGAGCTGAATTGCTGAGGGACAGCGTTCAGGCCCAGACTTCAAGCCCCATGACCACCAACAACAACAAAAACAGCTCTTTGCCTTAACACAGGTATCATAAAGGGCTTATTGACTCAACTAATAGGCAGCATTTGCTATATACCAAAATCACTTCCACATAGTGAATTAACAGAACCCTCTAGTATTTTCTAGAGATGGAGCAGGCAGACATGTTAGGGCTTTCTACAAGGACACAGAGCCAATTGATGTCCAAACTTGTGTCGAGGGCACTGTAACAGGGCAGTGTTTTAAGATAATGGCAACTCATCTCTTGATAGGGTATAGATTATTTATAGATTTTCCCCGAAAATCTATAAATAATTGATAAGCAATAATTTAAATATAAGCACACTTAAGCAATTCCTTCACTAAATTACAACGATGAAATGATGAGTCACAAAATCACACATATCTAAAACAGGAAACATATTTTATTCCCATAGCTTATTTAAATAACTGAGAAAAGTCTGTAAAATCATGACTTTTAAATTGGGAAGGAGAGGGACAAAAATAGCTCTGATTTGGAAAAAAAGTAAAGGTATTAAGCAACTGAACAGACTCCATTTATTTTCAAATTTAGGTTTGAGTAATAGTAGTTATCTGATCCCAAATCTTCAAACTTGCCTTTAGAAACAATAGTTTGGGGATGGGTGTATTTAATTTTATTAATGAGATGATTACAATTTTCTAGTTTTAATTTCAGTTAATATTAAAATGGAGGGATACGATTCACAGAATGTAAAGTATAAACCTATTTGAAAATATATTTGTCTTTCTTTTGCCCACATCACTACTATGCTTTGCTCTCTACTAAAGTTCAACAGGAGAACATTCAGTGCCAACTGAGCTGAGAACTTTAAGAAGCTTGTCCTTTATTTCTTTTATTATCATGGGGGAAATATATCATATGTGGCTCTCACAACAGACAAGCTTAATTACTACAATTTTAAAATCTGAACATTTTTAGCAACACTTTCAGGATCATAGGAGCACTTCTGACAGGCAGAATGCATAGGATTTAAACATCACTGAACTATTTTTAGCTTTAAAATCAACACTTACATAAATATTCCCAAACCAATTAGCAGCAGCTGGAAAGTAAAGGTGTTTACATTTTGTTAGCACTGATGCTAACTATTGCAAGTGTTCACTGGCTGCCAGAAAAAGGCCAGACACCAGGGAGGCCACCCTTTCAACAGGGGTGATTGCCATGCTGGTACCAGGCTCTCATTTCACATTTCATAGTTGTACAAGTCACTGATTTCATACAGGTGCATTCTTTATCATGGAACATCATTAAGTTATGCATCTCCAGAGAAACTCAGTAATTCTTGATACATTTTTTGGAAAAAAGTGCTACCTAAATTCTCACTGTGTATGCCTGGCTGATCATAGCAAAAAAATAATATTAAAAGTTTTATAGTGTGGTTTTTCATCTGTCAAATCAGGAACAAGAAGAGATGTCTCCTTTATTAATAGATAGCCTTTTTTTTTTACATACTGGTACCAGTAGGTGGCCTATATTTCCTGCTCATATATTTCAGGCCTATTTCAAACATTTGCTCACAAAATTTTAACTGCCAATTGAGTTGTGATTCAAAAATTCAAATGCATTTTCAAACAGGATTTGCATTCTTAAATGTCAGTGGATTTTAGAACGAGAGTAAGAGAAACATTATACAGAGAAGATCTGAACGAGAGGTTGTGTGTCTGGTGCTCATACATAAA